GCCAGTTTGGGATTTAGGATTTGGGCTTTCGGGTTTAGGGTTTAGGTTTAAGGGTTTCAGGGTTTTGGGGTTTGGGATTTAGGGTTTAGGGTTTAGGTTTAAGGGTTTTGGGGTTTGGGGTTTAGGGTATGGCACAAGGTCGGTTAGGAGGGTTCAAGATGGTGGGGGGGGGGGGGTAGGTGGGTTTAGGGTCCTTTCTGGGGTTTGAGATTTATGCGGTTTAGGGTTTAGTGTTTTCAGGGTTTAGGGATGAGGGTTTAGGGTTCAGGGTTTGGGGAGCGGCGCGGAGGCGGGGGGCTTCGGCGCGTCTTTAAGACTTGCTGCGCTCAACCTAGACCTCCAAAACCGTTATTCACAACCCTGAATTTGGGTTTTAGGGTTTAGGGTTTAGGGTTTATGGTTGAGGGTTGCGTCGGGCCTCGCCATGTCTTCAGCATCCTCCAAGTAATATCCCTCGGCCCTATGTTGAGTGTTTAGGGCTTCGAGGGTTAGGCTTTAGGGTTTAGGGTTTAGGATTTAGGGTTTAGGACTTAGGGTTTGGGGTTTAGGATTTAGGGTTTAGGGTTTAGGATTTAGGGTTTAGGACTTAGGGTTTAGGGTTTGGGGTTTAGGGTTTAGGGTTTGGGGTTTGGGGTTTAGGGTATCCCCCTGAAGATACCTCATGCTTGCGGCAAAGGTTCATTGATGCCCTCGAGCGGCGACAGGTACGGCAGGCGTGCGACGAAAGATCTCCCCCGTGGCTGCATGTACCGGGTTTAGGGTTTAGGGTTCAGGGTTTAGGGTTCAGGCTTCAGGGTTTGGGGTTTTGTGGGTCAGGGTTAAGGGGTCAGGGTTAGGGCTGAGGCTTTAGAGATCAAGGCCGGCAGTTTCTCCCTAAACATAGTGCTCAAGGGTGGGATTTCTGGCAAACAATGGTGTATGTTTATGGCAATCCTTCTGGAAGCCCTGTCGCCCTGGAAATGTGCAGGGCGAATGTAGGCGGTCATGATCTTCTCTAAGAACCTCAACCCTAAACCCTAAACCCTAAACCCTAAACCCTAAACCTCAAGACTAGGACCCAGAGTCGGCCCCACTTCCTTTCTTGGTTAAGGTTAAAGGCCAGGTTCCCTTGTAATCACCTTTAAACCAACAAGGAAACCCTAAACCCTAAACCTGACTCAGGGTTCCTTTTTTGGGGTCGGTGCCGTACTATCGGTAAGACCCAACCAGGGGTCCCCTAAACCCTAAACCCTAAACCTTAAACCCTAAACCCCATATGGCGAATACACCCCCCAAATGCCATACTCCTTATAAGAGCCCCCCAAGGAAGGTGCCCCCTAAGACTCCCACCTACCGGGACCCTAAAGGGTTAGGGTTTAATTTGGGTTCAGTGAGGGTTTAATTCGGAATATAGGACGTACCCTGTGCCTTAAGTATCCCCTTTTGAGGCACATGGACCCTTAAGGAACCGCAAGCCCTAGCTGAACCTCAACGTATGTCCCGGGAAAAAAGGCACTACCATTTTTTCCTGTTGGGCTTGAGGCTTTTGTTGGGTTTGGCCCTTATTTTTTTTTTGGGGTTGGGTTTAGGGTTTAGGGTTTAGGGTTTAGGGTTTAGGGTTTAGGGTTTAGGGTTTAGGGTTTAGGGTTTAGGGTTTAGGGTTTAGGGACCCTTGTTATTCCTAGGCTACTCCTAGGTCTAGAAGCCGTGCTCGCCAGGTCTTTGCCGGCTACGACTATAGCTGCGTCATCTCGAATACGGAGCGCCTTGAACTGGGTTTAGGGTTTAGGGTTTAGGGTTTATTGTTTAGGGTCTATAGGGCTTAGGGTTTAGGGTTGAGGGCTTATAGTTGGGCTCTGGGATCTTCCTTCCAACCCTAAACACCCAAACCCTGAACTTGGGATGTTTCCCCCCTATACTCTATACTAACAGTCCTTAGTCATAGGGCTCTCTCTTAGGCAGAAGCCCCCCAACCCCCCCACAACACAGCTGAGAGGATCGAGGATCTACGTTTGAGGAGTGTCGTTCTAGGAGCTTTCGACGCTAAAATGCATCAGAGTGCAGTTTCAGGTCTCACAGGAGCATCGCTGCAGCCGATTTTGAGGCCAGAACATTTTGCTCGTAATCGGAATCGCAACAGGATGCAGTTCTGAGGCTGCGGAGCTGTGGAGTGAAACAGCGTGGAACTCCACAGTTCTGGCCTCAAAATCGGCTGCAGCGATGCTCCTGTGAGACCTGAAACTGCACTCTGATGCATTTTAGCGTCGAAAGCTCCTAGAACGACACTCCTCAAACGTAGATCCTCGATCCTCTCAGCTGTGTTGTGGGGGGGGTTGGGGGGCTTCTGCCTAAGAGAGAGGCGCTCTTTTTGCAGCCATGATGCCTTCGTGATGCGACAAAAATGTTTCATGATGCCGTCGTGATGCGACAAAAAATGTGTCATGATGCCGTCGTGATGCGACAAAAATGTTCACATGCATGCCGCGTGACGCGTTCATTTGCACATGCCGCGAAACGCGTTCATTTGTGCATGTCGCGTGACGCGTTCATTTGTGCATGTCGCGTAACGCGTTCATTTGTGCATGCCGCGAAACGCGTTTCTTTTTGCATGCCACGAAACGCGTACATTTGTGCATGCCGTTCATTTGTGCATGCCGCGTGACGCAATGTTATGGGTGTAAATTCGATGTGTGCAGATGGGGAACTTTTGCCGAGAGCGGCGGCGGTGCGGCGGTGCGGCGGTGCGGCGGCGCGGTGCGGCGCGGTGCGGTGCGGCGGTGCGGCGGCGTGGGTGTGTGGGGGAGATGCCGAACTTTTGTCGAGAGCGATGCGGCGCGGTGCGGCGCGCTAGAGTGCCCTGCAGCCCTAACCCCTTGCGTCCCTGTAGGAGTGCCAGCCAAGTGCCCTGCCTAAGCCCCTAAAAGCCCTATCCCTTTCCGAGAATGGCCCTACTTGCGTGATGTGTGCCGCAGCCATGACCAGGTTTCTCGAACTCTTTTTGGCTTTGTCACCCGCGCAGCGGGAGGCAGAGCTCTGTGGTCTCACCCTGCGCCACCCTCCCGAACCCTTCTCCCTGTCTACTCAGGTGCAGGTGCAGGAGCACATCTCTCGCCACCTGGTCCTGGTGGTGAGAGAGGCGGAGCTCCGGGCGGAGGCTCTTCTCCCTCTCTCTCTCTCTCTCTCTCTCTCTCTCTCTCTCTCTCTCTCTCTCTCTCTCTCTCTCTCTCTCTCTCTCTCTCTCTCTCTCTCTCTCTCTCTCCCTACCTTCCCCCAGCCCCCCTTGGCCGCAGGCGCGCCGCCGCCGCCGCGCCGCCCGCAGCGGGAGGAGGTGGACGAGGCGCCCCAAACTGCCTGCAAGCTTCCTCCTCCCACTGCCCCTGTGTCAGGAGCGAGTCCGGGCGCGGTCGAGGAGCCGCAGCAGATGAGTGGTGCGGGCTTCTGTTCACGCACTCCACACCTGCCGCCTCCCTTTACCGGGCTCCGCCCGTGCCGCTCCGGCCTTTTTTACCCCGCCTTGACGTGGTGGGAGGGCTCTAGTACCCCCTACGGGGGGGAAGCCAGGAGGGTGCCACCGCGCCGCAGCTGCCGCGCGCAACGCTTTTTTTTTTTGCCCTTCCGGCCATCTCGGCGTCGCAGAGCCACACTCTCCCCCGCAGCGTGAGGCCCTGGCAGGAGGCGTACGTGACCGCGTGGCAGAGCCGCGTGTGGCGCAGCAGCTCCGCGAGATCCGCCCCCTCACTTCGCGCGCGTCGCTAAGCAGCCCTTGGGCACCCTGCCGCCCGCGCCCACGAGCCTCAGCCCGGGCCACACTCTCATCGTCTGCGGCTGGTTCGTGCCCGCGGGCCCCTGCGCCCGGTGCTCCACCAGCAGCGCGCCCTCCGGCGCGAGCCGCCGGTTCTCTCGCTCGTTGATGGCCATCCTGTGGGCGTGGGAGATGACGAGGCAGGTGTCGGGGTGGCCGCGTCGCGGGAAGCGCTCCCGCACCGCCTGCACGGCCTCCCGCAGCGGCGGCTGCTCTGGCTCGTCCACCCGCAGCCACCGCAGGAAGCGGAAGATCGCCTCGTCGCTGCGCTGGTTCTCCGTGAGCTCGCGCACGCAGTTCTAGGAGCTTTCGATGCTATCATGCATCAGAGTGCAGTTTCAGGTCTCACAGGAGCATCGCTGCAGCCGATTTTGAGGCCAGAACATTTGCGAGTGAGGAATCGCAACAGGATGCAGTTCTGAGGCTGCGGAGCTGTGGAGTGAAACGCGTTCATTTGTGCATGCCGCGAAACGCGTTTCTTTTTGCATGCCGCGAAACGCGTACATTTGTGCATGCCGTTCATTTGTGCATGCCGCGTGACGCAATGTTAAGGGTGTAAATTCGATGTGTGGGGGAGATGTGGAACTTTTGCCGAGAACGGTGCGGCGCGGCGGTGCGCGGTGCGGTGGTGGTGGTGCGCGGGGGAGATGGGGGACTTTTGCTGAGAACGGTGGCGGTGCGGTGCGGAGGGTGCGGTGCGGTGCGGTGCGGTGCGGCGGCGGTGGTGCGTGGGGGGGATGCCGAACTTTTGCCGAGAACGGTGCGGCGCGGTGCGGCGCGGTGCGGCGGTGCGGCGCGAAAACTTTAAACTGATGATTAAAAACCAGTGACTTTTGCCGTGGCTGTAACCGATTTTCTTTAGAGTGCCCTGCAACCCTAACCCCTTGCGTCCCTGTAGGAGTGCCAGCCAAGTGCCCTGCATAAGCCTTAATCCCTATATCCCCTTCCGAGAAGGCCCTAACCTTAATACATGTCCGCGCCGCTCCATGGTTCAAGTAAGCGGCAGGGACCGCAGCCCTGACCGCAGAGCAAACACGACAGCATGGCAGCATGGCAGCAGCACTACAGCACCATAGCACTGTGGACACACTTTAGCTCTAGGGCAGCAGTTGGCAGGCATAGGCACACTTTAGCTCTAGGGCAGGCATAGGCACACCTGACACTTTCACAGAAGCTTAAGCCACGGAGCACGTAGGAGATCCCGCTCAAGGATCCCACCATGGTCCTCATGAGAGCGTGGCTCTGGGGAATGTTGGCGATGGCCTTGATGAAAGGCTGCCAGGCCGTCACCAGCAGCGAGGAGGACGAGGAGTCCTCGGCGAACGTCGCGGACGACGCCGAGGCTGAGCGCCTCTTTCGAGGCGAGGAGGAGGAGGAGGAGGTCCCGACCCCCCCAGTGGCACCCGCAGCCCAAGCAGTGCCGCAGAAAAAGGTGGAGGAGGAGGCCAGGGGGTGGGGGGCTTCTCCTGCTCCCCCACTCCCCCAGTCTCTTACGGGGGGTTGGGGGGCTTCTGCCTAAGAGAGAGCATAGGGGGTATTGTAATCCCTCTGAAGGACTGGTGGAATAAGGGGGAGCATCCCAACCCTAAACTCTAACCCCTAAGCCCAAGTCTTCTCGGGGGGGGGGGGTTGGCCTAGTGGGAGCTTGGGGCAAGTTTTGGGCCCACAAAATGGTTTTGTGGGGTTTCAAAGGGCTTCATACTCTTATCTTTTTTGCAGGGGCGCTGAGGGTTTACCTAGTCTCAGGATTGTAGGGTCTGATTTGGGAAGTTCCCCTTATACTAACAGTCCTGAATAGGGGTTACAGTATACCCCTATTGTTATCCAGATCAAGGACGTATGAGCGGGAACATCCAAATATGTAGCGTTAGCTTCTAGTCCAATTACCGCTTTGGAGTTGTAGGGTTTTGGGTTGAGGTTCTCGGGCTGCCACGCCCTTGCCAATCTCTAAACGAAACTTAACCGTTTGGGTTTTTAGGGTTAAGGGTTTAGGGTGTAAGGTTTAGGGTTTAGGTTTTCAGGGTACTAGGTTTTCAGGGCTTCGGAGGACTTGCAACTCGAAGCCCTCAACCCTCAACCCTGAACCTCAAGCCCCAATCCAAGCAAACCCGATGAAGCCTCGCAGTTCAGCGCAAGAACTGGGGGATTCCCAAGATTAGGGGTTTAGGGTTTTAGGGTTTAGGGTTTAGGGTTAATGCGGAGCCTGATATATAGGGTATCCCAAAAAAGGTTCCATAATGTAGAGAATCCCCCGTTAGCGTTCCCAGGGCTTAGGGTTGAGGGTTCGACACAGGGCTACCCCAAAAATAGCAAAATCCTGCTTAGAGGAACCCGTCAAACAAAAGGTACCCTAATTTCGGAAGACCCTTTCATGTTTTTTCATTTAGCTCCGAGGCGGCTATTTGCCGCCGGCAACAACGACGGCGGCTTCCTTCGCGAGGAGGTGTCTGCGTTTCAATGTCTAGGGCCTTCGTGCGCCATTCGCTTTGCGTGATTTTCTTCGTTCACAGCCAGCTAGGGCTGCAACTTCGCAACTCAGCGTTCGGAGCGTTTTTTATGGCATGTTGAGTTGAAACCCCAAGCCCTCGACCCAACCCCTCCAAGCTGTTAAAGCCAAAGCCTGGAGAAAGCTGTGCCATTCTTATGGATCACCCACACGAAAACCCTAATGACCAAAACCCCACACTCTAACCCAAAATCCCACACTCTAAGTCTCCACACCCTGACCTTACAACCCCCAAAACCTTACGAGCTCTCAGCAAAGGAGGATGGTCAGCGGGACAGCGCGAGCCCGCTGCCTACCGCCTTCGATGAGTTGCCTGGCCAACGTCTGCATGAGGGTCTAGGGGTGTAGGTAGGCCCTTAAGGGACATTTCATATTTTCCCGTATTGGGTTTAAGAGGATTACCATATAAGAATATGTTTCAGAGGGTCTAGGGGTGTAGGGGTTTCGGCGTTTAGGGGTTTAGGGGTGCAGGGTCTATAGGGGTTTAAAGGGATTTAGGGGGGTTTAGGGTTTAGGGGTTAGAGGTTTTCTCCCCTCCCCCTAATATTAAATTCCCCCCCTACCCCCTATTTTAAAAACACCCATTATAGTTATATTATAGTATACTAGGGTTTTTTAATACTAAGGGGTAGGGGGGGTTTAGGGGTTAGGGGTTTGGGGTTAGGGTTTAGGGTGTAGGGTTTAGAGTTTAGGGTTAAGGGACCCCCAAGCCTGACTCTGCTTTTCAAGGCTCAGGTCTACAGGTTTTCGGTTCAGCCCGACGCCCGAGAAACCGTAAATCCTAAGCCTTAAACCCTAAACCCTACTGTAAAACCTAAAGCCCTAAACCTTAAAACCCCCAAAATCCCCAAAGCCCTAAAATCCCCAAAGCCCTGAATCCTAAGCCCTAAGCCCCAAAACCTTAAACGCCCCAAGCCCCCAAAGGGTGCAGCCTGTTCATCTCAGAATGGGCTGCTCTCCAAGCGTAGTTTCATGGGCCCTTAGTATGGTCCCGTACCTCTCCTAGAGGGTTCCGTTCCGAAGTATGGGCCCTTTGGTGGTCACAGGGTACATGAGGGGGATATAGGGGTCCCCTTTTAAGGGCCGGTTGTACAGGGCACATAAGGGGGAAAAAGGGGGTCCCCTTTTATGGGCCGCTTCTAAGGGATCATGAAACTCGCCTAAGATGCTAAAGAGATAAGATCCAAGCCGGTTTAGGGTCAAGGGTTTAGAGGCTTAGGGTTTTGAGGTGTTGGGTTCATGGTAGAGGGTTTCGAGGCCTAGAGCTTTAGGGTTTGAGGTTTTAGGGTTTAGAGGCTTCGATGTTTAGGGTTTTGGAGATTTTTGGGTTAGGATTTAGGGGTTTAGGATTTGATGCTTAGGGTTTGAGGGGCTTGGGATTTAGGGCTTTTGAGTTCGAGGGCTGGGGGTCAATTATAGTCTTCTTAAGGGAGGGGGGCTCAAGGGGGGTATGTAAACTAAGGTTCCCTTATACTCCCACTACTCCCAAAGGCTCCCTAAGCTTCCCTAAGGTTCCCCCCCCCTGGAACCCCCCTTCGCCTTAAGAACCCTGCAAGTTAAGGGCTTTGGATTTAGGGTCTAGGGCAGGTACTACTCCATAAGGACATCAGGGTTCTTAGTAGGGGTTTAGGAACCCTTAACCCCAAACCTCATACCGGCATTTCGTAGCCTAAACCCTCAACCCTCAACCCTAAACCCTAAACCCTAAACCCTAAACCCTAAACCCTAAACCCTAAACCCTCGCTCTCCTAGTGGTGCATGTCTACCAAGGCTGGAGTCCACAAGACTCACTGCCGTCAGCGGTGGCCGCGACCACATTGTAGCAGATGCTTGGCTCCTGCTTTGGTTTGGGGGTTTGGGGTTTAGGGTTTAGGGTTTAGGGGTTGGGGTTTAGGGTTTAGGGTTTCGGGTTTAGGGTTTAGGGTTTGGGGTTTACGGTTTAGGGTTTAGGCTTACACAATTTTTTGGGTTTGTCAGGTTTCGGGTGGCACCTTCATCCGCGAGACTGAACATAAGGCTCCATACTGCCGTGGGAACATTGAAGGGGCCCGACTTCGCAACCCTCCCCCCCCCCCCACCCCCACCCCATAGCAATAATGGGGTTTAGGGTTCAGGGTTTAGGGTTTCTGGACTTATGGGTTTAGGGGCTTAGGGTTGAGGGCTTAGAATTTAGGGTTTAGGGTCTTCGTACCAGCTATTGTATGGGCACATAGACTCCCATGCTCTGGGAGCAAGTACATGGTCCCTTCATACGGTCCTTGAAGTATGGTCGGTTTGGCAGGGCTCCCCTAGGGTTCAGGGTGTAGGGTTTAGGGTTTAGGGTTTAGGGTTTAGGGTTTAGGGTTTAGGGTTATTAAGGGGCCTTGAAACTAACCGACTCGCCTAAGAGAGACTTGGCCTCGCCATAGTGAGGATCCCATGGGCCCGGGGGATATTTTCTGTTTGCCCTTCATATTGGGTTTACGAGGTTCATGTGTAAGAATGTATTCAGATGGTTTTCAAGAGTCAACCTAGTTTAGTATTTGGGTTCGTTGTTCAAAACTATTTCTTCCCAAAACCATGAGTCAGGGGGGGGTGAAGGCATTAGGGTTTAGGGTTTTAGGCTTGATAGAGTTGCTGCCTAAGCCCGAAACCCTAAACGCTAAACCCTAATTCCTAAACCCTAAACGCTAAACCCTAAACCCTAAACCCTAAACCGTCTCTATAAGGCTGGGCCTCTTTGAGGTGACTGACAGTCAGGCCAACGTCTAGGAGCAATCGTGACGGGTCTAGGGTTTAGGGTTCAGGGTTTAGGGTTTAGGGTTTAGGGTTAAGGTTTAGGGTTTAGGGTTAGGGCCGGGTTTCGGGTTCAGGGTCCGTGAGGCACTCGATATTATCACTGGGCTAGGGCCAAGGGCATCAGGGTTAGCATCCTGGGGTTCTAAGATTCATTTGGGGTTTTCCGACATTAGGGGTTTAGGGTTTAGGGTTTAGGGTTTGGGGTTTAGGGTTTAGGGTTTAGGGGTTTCCGAAACCCTAAACCCTAAACCCACGTCTCTAGGGGAGGCCAGGGTGTTGGAAACCTGACTCTTTTTCAAGCAGAGCGTGTCACTGACACGCTGCCAAGACGCAAGTTGAACACTCCACGGTTCCCCAATCCTTTCCCAAAGCATCAATGTGCCAATATAGGGTTTAGGGTCTAGGGTTTAGGGTTTAGGGTTTAGGCCCAAGTATATAGCATATAGGTACATGGACCCTTAGGGTTTCAATCTTTGAAAGGCACCTACGCACCCGCAAACAGCGCTGACTCAATGCTCGATGCAGCTTTCCGATGCACGGGCTTGGGGTTCAGGGTTTCGGATTCAGGGTTTAGGGTTTAGGGATGAATGAAATGAAGAGCCCCCGTGATGACAAACTCGATGGAACAACACGGCGTTTACATGCCCACCGTCACGTTGGCGGCTTGGACAGCGTTTTCTCAATTGGGCTGCAGTATGTGACAAGACCGCACTGAGTGTAGTTGTCTCATGTAGTTCCTTGTGAACGAACTGAACCTTACAGGGTGAATATACCAACTTATACTACTAATTATAATCCCCATTAAGATATATGAACCTGAAGCCCTTTTACGGTTTATTTGGTCCCCACTGTTGTCGCTAGCTACAAGCATTCTGCTAGGGAACTTGGTGCAGCGCCGGCTTTCTTCAAGCGCAGATATTCACGCGGAACCCAAACCCCTAAACTAAAACCCTTTGCCATTGCGCGGGTCTTGCAACCGCCAGCATGATGATTGCATATAGCCAGCGTTGGGGTTGAGGTTAGAGTTTAGTGTTTCTAGGTTTAGGGGTTTAGGTTTTTTTCCAGCACGTTGCCCTATAGCAGAAAGCCGAACTCTTTGTGTGTGACGCAGCAGCGGATGTGGTCTTATGGGGTGCTCTAGACGCCGGCAACATTCGGAAGATGCATATACATGTCCAGGAATAGGTGTGTGAGTTGCTTTCAAGCTTGTGCTATACATGAAGCGCACAGCAAAA